AGGATGGTCTCGATCTCCTGACCTCGTGATCCGCCCGTCTCGGCCTCCCAAAGTGCTGGGATTACAGGCTTGAGCCACCGCGCCCGGCCTCTTTTTTTTTTTTTTTTGAGATGGAGTTTTGCTCTCGTTGCCCAGGCTAGAGTGCAATGACGTGATCTCGGCTCATCACAACCTCTGCCTCCCGGGTTCAAGCCATTCTCCTGCCTCAGCCTCCCGAGTATTTGGGACTACAGGCATGCACCACTATGCCCGGCTAATTTTGTATTTTTAGTAGAGATGGGGGTTACCCCATGTTGGTCAGGCTCGTCTTGAACTCCCAACCTCAGGTGATCCGCCTGCCTCGGCCTCCCAAAGTGCTGGGATTATAGGCGTGAGCCACTGCCCCCGGCCTCTATCTTTGTTTTTAAATTTTAACTCATTCTTATTGACTTCAACAATCTTACATTCTCTATTCAGTAAACCAAAAGCCTTGAAGAAAAAATTTTGAAAATGAGGAATAGAGTTGAATTAATAGGAATTTTTCATTGGGAATTAGTATTTAACTTGATTCCCTAAAATTCATTAAAAATCTTTAAGATTTAAAACACTGAAATGTTTCATGTACAGTGCCTATTTCTGTCATGCTGAAAATAATAACAGGTAAAGTGGCTTTTTTAAACTAAAAATTAATGTTATAATAATATTCATGGATTATATTATCTAAATTGTAAAGAGTAATAGCTATTTTCTCCATTTTTCAGTGCTAGTTAAAGGAATGATCTGAGTCTGTCAGCTTATACCTGACAGGTAGTTGATATGTCTGCTATGTTGACACCCCTTGAGACAGCCTTGGCCAAGCCCTTGTTGGAATAACAGTAGGGAACCCCATGGCCCCAGATCAGCCACATCTCTTCGTTACATCCAGATCTTTGTTCCCATACTGTTACCTAAAATTCCAGTGTCACAAATCACTTCCAAAATGGAGACAAGCACTAACAGTCCATGAATCTTTAGATGAAACCTAAATATAAAATGAACTAGAAGTATCACTGTTTCTTTTCTTTCTATTGCTTTTTCCCCTTTTTCTATTTAAAAGTCTCTACACCTCAGATCTTTTTTGGTTTTCCTCCTTCGTAATTTTCACATCATTCTTTTCTTCCCTCATTTATTTCTTCGTCTTAGCATAGCACATTCTTCTACTAGTATCCACCCACATTCATTTCCCCTCAGAACCACTACTGTCAGGGACTTTCCCAGACAATGTCTTATCACAGAAAATTTTGGAGCTGTATTGCAGAATGAAGTATTGGAAAACCTTATCTTTAGGTGACATTTAATGGTGTGGTTATATGTAGGTTAACCTAGTACCTTATGGATTAATATGTATAAAATAATTATTAATTATTGAGCACCTGGCTTTTTAGAATCACAAGTTAAAAGACAGCACTTGGAAAGAAATTGTACATCATAGTAACAACACTTCAGGGCTGTTGCTTTTTCCCTTTCTCTAGTCCGTGTTTGTTTTTCGTCTTAGAAGCTGTATGGAAATTCTGACCAAACCCCTTTCCAATCATGAGAAAGTTGTCCGACCAGCCCTCATCTACAGTCTCTTTCCCAACGTTCCCCCTACCATCTATTTTGGCACTCGGGATGAGAGAGGTAAACCTGGCCAAGTGTCAAACCCCAGAAGAGCCCCCGGGAGAAGGTTGAGAGCTAAGTTGGGAGGAGGTGGCAGTAGGTGGGAGAGGGTTTCCAGAACTGTGCTCAGTTCCCCACATGGTCGTAGGTCTAATGCAACCTTTTTCTTGTCTGTCCTTTAGCTGACCCTTTTCAGCCTTGCCATGTCATGCTGAGTTCATGCTCTCCAACCTTGCTGCTTTTCCCTTTCAGTCTTCCCTTTCTTTGTTCCTCATTCCTGCACAGTTCCTCATTCCTGCACAGCCCCTCTTCCTTCCCAAAGTGTGCTCCTCTGAAACCCTGACCTGGAGCAATAGTGACTTGCCTGCCCAGGGAAAAATGGGCAGCCATACCATCTTTTTTGTCTTCTCATCATGACTCTCTGCTCTTCTCCACCCCCCATCCCCACACCCCTTGCATTCTTCCCAGTGGAGAAACTTCCCTGGGAGCAGAGGAAGTTGCTCCGGTGGAAGATGAGCACAGTGACCCCCAACATTGTCAAGCAGACCATTGGACGGTCCCACTTCAAAATCAGCAAAAGTGAGTTGCTTGCCTTACTGTGAACCTGTCCTTTTTGCCCCAAATAGATGGGCTTTGAGTAGGGGGACAGCTCTAGACACCTCGTGCCTATGTGGGGGCAGCTGGGGCCCTCTCCTGAAATCCAGTCTTATAGGAGGGTGTAGCTCTGAAATCCTGGGCTAAGCCTGTTGTTCAGAATTGAGAGACAAAGGGCCATTGTTCTGTCCCTGGCCCCAGGGCCTCATGTAGGACAGCTCCATAGCAACTCTTTGAAAACCAAGTCTGGGAGCTGTGCCCAGTTCTGGGGCCTCTGGGCCTTTCTCTGTCCCTGGACTGGGCTGTTAGCAAGGCTGATTCCTGATGTACCTCCCATAGGAAACGATGACTGGCTGGGCTGTTGGGGTCACCACATGAAGTCTCCTAGTTTCCGATCCATTCGAGAGCATCAGAAGGTAGGGGCCCTTTCTGAGGAGCTGTTTCCCTGGACTTTGGACTAGGCCAAGAGGAGGGTGATGATGTGGGTAGGGGGTAGGGGGCGGGAAGAGGATGATGACCATGGAGAAGTCAGGAAGCTGTACAGAGGAGAAGGTACAGGATGGGGGTACAGTGAGAGACTCCAGTGGATCACGTACATCTCCAGTTCAGCTGCAGTATTTTGGAGCTTCTTGCTATGTGGGGGCAGCGGAGTCCCACTCCTGAAATCCAACCTCATAGGAGGCTGTAGCTCTGAAATCCTGCAGTTGCAGCTTCTCAAAGGCACTTTTTCCTCTGATTTAGACTGTCTGTTTTCTGTTTATTATGTTTCCCTATGACCACTGCACATTCCATTCTCCCAAGCTGAATATGTGTAAAGAGGACTTCTGGTCTCACGTTGGAATGAATGAGTCCCTTGCCCCCAGACTTACTAAAGGTGAAATGCTTTTCTGTCCTCATCCCGTAGGGTTTCATGGAAAAGGTGTAATAGCTTTTTCTTTGCACTTAAGGTGAATATCATATCTGTCTTACATTACTCTGTTTTGTCTGTGTTTTAATCATCTTTTGGTGAGTGCTCTGCAGTTGG